TTCAATCTGTCGTCTCTCTTTATTTTGGGCAAGTTTTACTCACCTGTGTTCAAGCTCGCTGATCCTGTATTCTTTTATCTCCTCTCTATTATTAAGCCCAACTAGCAAGTATTTGCTTCTATTATTGTATCTTTCTCTTCTATAATTTTCAATTGATTCTTTTTTATAACATTTCTTTGATGAGATTTTTCTGTTTTTTGTTCATTGTTGCAAGAGAATTTATAGTTGCTTATTGAAACATTTTTATGATACTTACTTTAAAATCCTTTGTAAGCTATTTCCAATGTCATATTACTCTTGATGTTGGTATCAGTTGATTATCATTTCCTGTTCAAGTGTTTTTCCTGATTCCTGGTGTGATGATCTACCCTGGACATTTTGTCTACTTGTGTTAGGAGACTCTGAGCCCTTTTTAAATGTTTTATTTTACCAGACAGTCACCTCTTTGGATTTAGCATGCAAGTTGGGCTTACTTTTATGGCCTGATTTCAATGCCAATTTACTTTTCAGAGCCACTGGTGTTACTATTTTGGTCTGCTTAGTTGATTTGGTGCAACTGGGGATGCTATTGTCCCTGCCAGCGCTATATGATGGGGAGGGGATGATGTTCCCAGGCCATGCTACCTGGTACTTCTAGGTGAGTGAAGGGCATGTCCACCCTGCAAGAGTGAAGAGTACTTCTGCGGATCTTGCAGGGAGGGAGAGTGCTTCTCCAGACTTTTATTATCAGTGCGTTCCTGATCTGTCAGCCTTATTGGTGCTGCAGCTGGACTGGTATTGAAGTGCATTTCCCATTCTGTCATGGGGAAGAATGATCCTAACTGGCTCATTCTTGGTGTTGCTAGACTAGGGTTTGGAAAACATGGGGCTGACCACTTTCTTTTGTTGGGGACAGGGAGACGGTCATAAGATGCCTGCTCTTAAGTGGTTTTTCCAGTCTTGGAGTCCTTAACCTGTATACCTTTTTCTCCCTTTCAAAAGCTTTTGGTTGCCACCACCAGTGTTATTTTCAGGGTATATAGTTGCACTTAGCAAGGAGGTTGGGATAGGGGGAATAATTGTTCATCTTTTCTAGACCAAGGGAATATTTTGTATAACTATTCATCTTTTGGATGATCAGGTTGTTTTAAATGGTGAATACTGTAGACATCATGACAGGGGACTTTCCAACAGCCTCACAAACCCTAAAGGCTTCCTTACTCCACAGACTCCCAGGCCTGGGTTGGGGCCTGGTTGGCCGCCCAGTACAGGCTATTACTCATCTGTCTTCTGCTTGCTTGACTGGTGATGTCAGTTCTTCGTGTCTGCTTTAAAATCAGGCAATTCTTGTTGTTCCTATGCTCATTGAATAATGCAGTAGTTTGTAACACTTCTAGCATGACTAAAACATAAACTATTGCCTTTGTAAAGCCTTTCTTAACCTATCCTTTTAGTGAATTTTGTCTCTTTTGACAAGAATTAATAGTAAACTTAGTCATGCAAATTTTTGTGATTTAACAATGAAATATGTAACTTTACATGAGTGTTTCTATTTCATGGTTGCAAACAGTGTCTGAGATTTTCATAAATTAATATGAAAAAGTTTTCAATATTTTCCACTTGCAAATGAGGATTACAAGGTCATCTCAGGTCTTCCACAGTAAATGTGCTTTAAAAAAATTCAAGTGGGAAATCCTTTATATTGAAAACCATGGATCCCTTTGTATAGTTTGCAAATAATTTCAGGTTAAAATTGCATATTATTTATTCCCACCCACTTCCTTTATTGGCTGTGACACACAGGAATTACGCCCATTGCTTGACTAACCTTTCTGACCTTTTGTTACTTGGCTATAAATTGACTTGGGTCTTTTGCAAAAACACTGTCAGGGGGGAAAATCTTTTTGTTAGAACCCAGCCAATTCCTGCTTCAGTGCAGAACAGTTTGTTCTCCTGAAGAAATGAGCCAGTTCAGTGAACAGAAAAACATAGCCATAAACTGGCATCGCCAAAAACTGCAAAAGCAGTTGCCCACACCATTGCTCCATGGAGCAGGGAACTTTATAAAAGAATAAGCGTTTAGGAGAAAAAATACAACTTTGAGTTCCACTGATTTTAGGTAAATGTGATTGCCTGGTCAGAGTTATACCACTTACAAAGGATTTTTCTGAGCTCTGACAGTCACTGACATTTTAACAATTTAACAGGAAAGTTGTAGATTCCCCCTCTCAGTTGCAGACTGCTATTGTACATTGTAGTTGACTTTCCCATTAGGTTGGAAGCTTTTCTGTTCAACAATGTGAACATTTCCTCATGCTCTGTGCAAGGCTGGGATCTGAACCCATCCCCCTGAAGAGACATTTATAGTAACCTAGTGAAGTACAGAAAACATGAAAGATAATTACAGTGTGGCAGTGCAGTAACAGTAAAATATCCAAGACACAAACAAGGCAGTACTTAACAGACTGTCACAGAAGCAAGAGCATTTGAGTAAGCTTTGTAGACTGTCTAGAAGTTTGCCAAATAAATATGAGGAGAAGAGCATACTGGGCAAAGAGAGGACTATATGGAAAGCTGAACTTTGGACAGTTAGTTACTCCAAGAATTCTTGGGTGTGGACTGTGAGGAGGGAGGTAGACTGTGAAACTGGAGAGGGATGGAGACCAGATAACAAATGTCTCTAGTGCCACATGAAGCAGTTTGGGATTTATGCTGTGGGCTCTGGGGGATATGTAATGATTTTAAGCAGGGGCATGGCCTGGGCAGAGCTGAAGTGGGAAGGCTTGGGTTTGCAAGGAACCATGAGTTCAGAAAGGACAGATTGGGCCAGACTAAGAAAGGACCGTGATACCAGGCTAAAGTGAACAAACTTTATACTGCAAGGGATTCACCAAAGACAGTGGCATATGTGTTTTTGGAAAGGCAGGTGGTTGTGATGAAGAGAATTGTATGGATGTGTGTGTGATAAGCATCGTGGATAACTGAAGACCTTGTAGCAGTCTACATGTGAGATATCTTGCATGGGTGCCTGTGGTGACTAGGGATTGCAGGGAGCAAGGAAGGAGAGAGGAAGCCTAAGACTTCTGTTTGACTTTCTATACACCCATCATGGTTGCTTTCACGTGTACCATCTCATTTAATTTTCATAACAACCCTATACTGTGCACATTGATACCATTCCCATTTTACAGAAGAGAAAACTGAGGTTTAGGCGGTTAAATCCCTCACCCAAGATTCACGTGACCCACCTAGGGAGTTGTTATGTCAGGGTTGGAACTCCAGTTTATCTGACTCCAACCATAGTAAACGCCATCCTTGAATAGTCCTTACATAACTGTACCTACTACCCAGTGTTAGCCAATGCAAGTGTGAGCTAGTGTTAGTGTTAGCAAGTCTCAGACTGCCTACATACTCACCCTGAGAACTACGCCTGTAATAGCTGTACAAATACTTGATTTTAGTTTTACTGCTACAATTCATTTTTGAAAGCCTATTTTTTCTTCTTAACCTATCATCTCATGAAAAAATTAGATACATGATTTTATTTCTTAAAATTTCACAATTCTAGAAGAATGGCATAAGATATAAATGAAGAACTATACTTAAAGAAAATGTAATTTTGTAATGTGTGTGTGTATGAGTATATGAAGCAATTCACATTAGAATCAAACTCTGACTTTTAGAAATTAGAGAACCTCTTAGGATTAACATGAAGTTATAGTATGGTAATTTTTCATAAATAATACATTTTCAGAAAATGCTTTGCAGCTATCTCTACTGTGTGTGTGTGTATATATATATATATTCACCATTATATATATATATATATATATATATATATATATATATATATATGAAGAAGGGTTTTACTGAGACAAGACCATTTTCAATCAATTCCCAGGACAAATGAATAATTCTTGGTTAATGGATCAACTTCTATTTCATGACCAAAAGGAAATACTGTCCCATTTGGGTTTGGAGCCTTGAGATTCCAGCATCAAAGTCTGTAAATATGGAATGTTGCAAGCTGCCCCTTCAGCATCTTGTGCTCAGCCTTTCTTTACTTCTCAAAGTGGAACCAGAAATCATATTTTTGAGATAGAAAAATGCTGGGAATGTAGGAAAAGTATCTAAATCTTAAGTATGTTGTTTTGTGGTATCACTATTAAAAAATGCAGCTTTTTAAGGAAAAATTACTAATGTGATTGAACTGAACTGTATTATACCCATGTAATTCATAGATCTTATAGGCACTCTGACAAAATAGAGATTATATATAGCACAGGAAAAGAAAGACAGTCCTACTTCCCTCAAGTGGCTGCCGAGCATAGTGGGAGAAACTCTTATGTAACTGGGTGTGCTCATTAGTTCTGCTGTAAATTCACACAACTGGGCCTCTGCGGATCCTTTGTTTGCCTCAGTGTTAACTCTTACTTGCTTCCTCTGTGGTTTTGGGACCTGTGCCTGGCACATGAGAAAATGCTGGAGACACAACTTGAAACACAGCCCCTGGCAGGCTAGTCTAGTGGAGCAGGCAGACAAGCAGGCAGCTAAAGCTCCTGTGGAACAAGAAGTGGTGGGCTCTGCAGCCTGGTGGAACCTGCTAAACATGCCTGGGGGCACTGGTCATACTGAGAAACCCCTTAGTTTGTGAGCAAAGAGAAATTACTTGCCTCCATGCACCTCACTTTTGTCATCTGTAAAAAGATTATACTACCCACATCATTCCTTAGTCTTACACAGTGCCTTAAAAATCGAATGTAGAGTCTTGTGCAATGTGCCTGGCCACTTAATTGGCACTCAGTGGACTTTTTATAAATATTCATTTCTCTGCCGCTTTTCTTTCCTCAAACACGCAGGCCCAACCCTGCTTTGTTTTCTTTTTACTGAGAAACATGGTCCCCTTTGTGAACTCCGCCAGCATTTCTCTTGAGTCTCAGAATTTTCTCATCTTCATTGTCCTTCTTTTTCCTTCCTACTTCCTAGGAGTGAGTATCCCAATTCTTTTCCCCCTTTCCTAGGTAACAGCAGCCCAAGGATGCGAGATTCGGGAGTGGGAGATGGCCTGTGAAGGTAAGGATGACAGTGTAGTCACATACACGTAATGGATCATAATTTCTCCTATTCCAGGCCCCCTCAAATAAGTTGGGGAATTCCAAGTTCCTGTAGTATTTCCTGTGTCTCCCTCTCTTGATTCAGTTTCCTAAAAGGAGAAAAAAAGAGTAGTGTTTTGCCCTCTCAAAACTGGCCTAGTGCTAGAATTTTTCCTTCCACCTGCAAATATTTTACTCTCAGCTGGGTCTTCTTCAAAGGGACCCCACCGTGGCATTACATTTGACTCCACTTCCCCTAATTTGTCAGTGTCTACCCAAGGGAGTCAGTGCGAGGAACTCAGCATATGTCTGTTCCTTTCCTACCTGGTTTATGGCCTCCCCTTTTCACATGACTCCTCCCAGTCCCACACCCAGCCAGGCCCTAGTTTGGGCATATCTTCTTAAGGTGGTGCTTTCAACAGGGAAAATTTGGCAATGTCTGGAGACTGATTATCATAATACCAGGGCAGGGTGGGAGGTGCTACTGGCATCTTGTTGGGAAAGTCCCTGGATATTGATAAATATCCTACAGTGCATAGGAAAGCCTCCAGAACAAAGAAACTGCCACTGAGGTCAAGCTTGAGAAACACTGAGCTAAGGGTGTCCTGCACAAGTCCTTCTCTGAGCTTACCTGCCTCCGTGCTCTCTGAAATGCTTGCTGCCCTTTTCCTTCTGATAGCCCCTGCAACAGGACTTACTCTTTCTCTCTCTCTCTCTCTTTTTTTAAGATTTATTTATTTATGCATACAAGAGCTGGGGTTCAGGCCAGAGATGCAGGGGGTGAGAGGATTCACCAGAGACAGAGTGAGGAACAGAACAGGCAGACTGTCCAAAACAAACTGCTGAGGGAAACAGCGGGCGAGACAGGAGAGGTCTGCTGCACCATGTGGGTTGCTTCCTGGCCGGGCCGGGCATTGAACTCGTGCTGCAGAGGCTGCAGAGGCTGCAGATTGCTTCATAGTGCAGTGCTTAACCCCTTGTGCCACCAGGGAGGCCCCTCTTTAAAAGCAGTGTAAGAGCTTAGTTATAATGAAGATGACCACTCAAACTCCATTTTATAAATAATAGTATTCCAAGACCTCATATCTTGCAGTTTCAGAGTCGCATCATGGAATGAGATTCAGTCTGGCACTCAACTGTAACATTCCTGCTCTGTCATAATAGATATCCTCTTCCTGAGCTTTAGCTTCACACAAGTAAGATAGAGATAATGTCCATTTCCTGAGCTTTTTGAGGCTGTGAGGAGATGTTAGCACAGAACCTGGTCCATGATGGTCAATCATATGTGCTCTGTGCTAAGAAATATGGTGGAAATGCAAGATTTCATTAAAAATTGAATCTGAAAAATGAAGCTAATATCTCAGAAATGACCCTGATAGTAGGTAGCTAGGGGTCATGTAGAAAACAGAATTGTTCCCTTTGCCTTGATAACAGCAATCTTAATTGCAGACAGCAACTTGCCATTACACTTTATGAGAATGAATAGAAACCCTCCAGCACCGGCCCCGTGGCCCGTGCTGTTCACTGTGGAAGTACTGGCAAGTGTTAGGGGTACTGGAAAGTTAATGCTTTCTCCTTATCCCATGGAAGCAGAAGGAAATCCCATGTGCTTCAGGAGATTTTTTTACACAAGAGATGTTTTCACACAGGAGATATTTCTTCCTCTCTTGGAACACTGGGGTCCTAGAACCATACCCTGAAAGCTGGGAGGTCAGCCCTGACTTGCGCTCACCTGAAGTCCACGGCTCTATTAGGGGCACTGCTGAGGTGTGAGAGGGAAACTGCAGGCATTTCACTCTCACAGTTTTCTGGTACCTGGAGGCCAGCAGATGAAGTGATATTTCATTTTGCTCAGGTATTATAATACATTAATTTTCCCCCACAGTACTAAGAGGTTACTAACCGTTGATCCTGTGGACAAAGGCAATTTGTATATACTTTCAGGTTAGGGCTTATGAAAATAATTTCAATATTCAACAGTGGAAATACATCTAGTACCTGCCCAGAGAATTCCAACCTTCCTCTATATGTGACCTTATCTCGAGAGAGAGAGGAAGTCTGTACAAACGGGAATGAGCTGATTCTATCCTTGGAGCTATCTCTGAAACATCCTAAAGCCCACAAAAATGTCGTTGACCTTCCATTTTTATCAATGGCTAAAATATGAAGAAACCCTCTGTGAGTAAGTTATATTGGTCAGGGGCCAATGGAGAGACGGTGTGTGACCAACTGGACATCAGCATCAGTAGCGCTCACACAGCCACTAGCAGCATCTAATGCTCATCCTCGCACTGTGCACCTCCTTCAATTTCTCCAGAAACCTAGGGCACTTAACACTACATCCCAGGACTTGGCTCTTCACTCTAGTATACTCTCTTGTGCTAGTCACACTTACCGGATGTTTGTGTCTGTTTTCTTGCCAGCCAGATGTCCTTAGAAGCAAGGCCTTGGGATCAGGAAGATCTGGATTTGAATCCCAGATGTTGCTTTTTGCTTATGTGTACTGAATCAAGTCACTTAACCATTTAACTTTGGTTTTCCAATTTGGAAAGTTGGTGATACTTATTTGTAGGATTGTTGTAGGGTTTAAATTAAATAAGGAAGTAAATGTAAAGCAGTTGTCACAGTGCCTGTCATGTATTAATTTCCATTCAGTCAGTTGGTGCAGTGGTGGTTGTACTTGAGGATAGAGACATTGATGTTTTTTATTCTCCCATTTCCACCATATTTCTCAGCAACAGAGCTGAGAATCTAGTAGCACTCAGATATTTTTTATTTGAAATAAGTGACAGGTGCACACATACAAAAAACAAGCGCTCAGGATAATTTGCTTAAAAAAAAAAAACTTTAAAGGGAATGTTTGTAAAGTGAGCTCATATGATATATAAGGAGGAGTATGAGCTAAGTGTGTCTGTTTTTTGTAGTAAATTGGGTCATTTGAAGAGAAAGCATTTGGACCATTTAATCTTAGCCCTCTGCTGAAATGACTTTACTTAGTTACCATTTAATGCCCTGTCTTCTGCCTTCTGGAGAATCAAGAATGGCCTGTTTGAGTGTGTTTTACTGTATCTTTCCAAACTTAGCTTGTTGTCCTCACCTTTACCTATATTCCTTTACATAGAGTTCCAAGACATTTTTCTCCTTGAGGTTCTACCTCCTAGAGATTTGTATTTGATAAATGATAAAGTGTCACTCAAAACCCTTGATCCTGGTGATGTCAGTCAAATGTAATACTGTACGAGGCGGGGAGGACATGGTAGTTGTCTCCATCCCCTCAAGTGCCTCGTTTCCCTCCCTATTCCCTTCCATAGCAAACAAGCAGTGGATGCTTTTGTCTTCTGGTAGAGAGATATTGGTTCCACCCCCAGCTCCAGGGAGGAACAGTGTCTGTTTGAACCTAATCAGGTGTAAACCCCTGCATGTTGCCACAGTGATTAACCTAGTGGCAGTTAGTGCCATGGGGATTAGTTCAGGTTGTACATGTGTCCCGGTTCAGGCCATCAGAATGTTTGAAAAGGGTCCTCAGGATTTTGAGAGGCTTCCCCAAAGTCCTCTCTGTCCTTCAGGATGGTTTGGAGACATGAAACCTGCAACTGCTGTGTCCATCTTGCTGTGATTAGGGAAGCTACTCATAGGATGCAGCTTTTAAATAAAGTAAAAAGAAAGAAAACAGATCCTTGCTTTCACTATAGAGCAACTGAAGCAAGCCCAGCCTCTGGACTTTCCACTTCTGTATGCCAGTAAACACCTTCTATTGTGAAAGCTGTTTTGAATTGAGTTTCATTATGAATCCAGTCCACAGGTAGATAAATTTCCTTCATTTTTTTGTGTATTGGTGATTCTATTCTGTAAATCAAAGCCCCACGTTGGAGGGAGGGGAACAGGAGTTGAAAGGGCTGTTTTTGCAAAGTTTGAATTGCTTATATGCTTGTACCTATACACTAATATTATTCAAATTTGTCAGGTTTTGATTAATGAAAAACAAATTTAGGCAAAACTACTGAATTAATAAATTTTGTATGTTTTTACAGTGGACAAATATTAAAAGCATCATGTAAACTTTTGCAAAAAATATTTTAGGTAGACAAATCATTACTCAGATAAATGTTTCTTCTGTTCTTCCTCTCTACTGCTATTCTTTCTCAAAATCCTTTCTCACCCAGTTTTCCTTCTTAGCCTATCTCAACCTCCATTAGAAACATTTGAGATAAATTTAATTCATTTTATTTAGATGGTTACATTGCATTTTAGCTCAACTCTTCAGGCCCTGTATTAGTGAGTTCTGCATACATGAAAATAAATACTGGGTTGAGTGTTTAATATCAAGGAGCCCAAACTGAAGTTCAGTACCATACAGCAAGTTGGGTATTAGACAGAACGCTTGTAATTACAGATGTCATTTTTTTGACTAGTAAAGGACACTGCAGGGGAATGCCTGTAATTGGTGTACTTAATGGATACCTACTGTGTGCATATCACTACTACTCATGGCCCAGCACTGAGTCGTTATCTCACAAAGCTGCAGTTCTTTGGAAAGAAAGACACATACACCAGATGCTATATCAACCAGGGCTACTTTTATAGAGGAATACATCCATAGACCGTTCTGGAACCTCTTTCTTAGAACCACTTGACCACAAGAGGACTCTGGAACTTTGTGTTTAATAAATTGTGATTACTGCTAAGAAATCTGCTATTTGTTAATGAAACATACTGCTCAAATGAAACATACTGCTTATACTGCTTTTTCCCCATTTCTTTGACATTTTTGTTTGTTTTAAAATATATGTATATAATATGTTTAATATATGTATATATTAAACATACATTTTTAATATATGTATATAATATATATGTTTTACATCATTGTTCGTTTTTGTACATTGTTTTCTTCCCCCCCCGCAGCAGGTGTAGCCCCCATAAAATTCCCACCACCAATTCCCCCATTCACCATCACCATAGTCCCTTATGCTCTTCCCT